AAAAAAAAAAAAAAAAAAAAAAAAAAAAATTCAATTGAAAGCAAATTTCAGTCATAAGGAACAATCATTTTTCAGTTCTTCTATACAGAATGTAACACCCATTTAGAGCAAGGTAATATGTCATGTATGCTCTAAAAACCTAAAACAACAACAAAAACCTTGTAGGAAATTGATTTGTTTATAAGATTTTCATCATTAAGAATTCTATAAAGTAAAATCCCACACTGTGGTAACAAACTTGCTTGATATATCATTTTGTTTCTTTTTCTGAAGCTATCCGAGAAATTTTTTTGTTTGTTTTTTTTTTTTCTGGGGCCCATGGTCTCCGATAGCAATGGCCAGAGCTCCTCTGTGGCTGCCACTTTGAAAGGAGATAAGCTTCTGGTTGGTCACTGTTGGTATCACTCCCATTTGCTTTTCTTTCCTCAGCTAGATTCTTTCCCTGAAAGCATCTGTCTCCTGTAAGATTTGAACTTACGATCTTAGAGTAGAAGTCAGATTGTCCCTCAAGGACAGCTAGGTTTGTCCAAGCCTCTGCTTCCCTTAGAATTGTATTTTTTCCTCCCTGAATTCTAAGTAGTTGTTTCATTTCCAAGAAAAATTGTATAACTAAGTCCATGGCATAAATCCTCTTATTTAGAAATATGTATATATTTAAAACCAAAGAATGCTTTTTATATTCCTGGCTAATGCCCATTTATGATAGCAGTATGCCCAGTAATAGAGTGAAAGTATTTCTTAACAACAGTTTTTTCTTCAATTATTTTTTAGCTACCAATGCTTTTTTTTTTTTTTTTTTTTCAGAGTTTTGTTCTTGTTCCCCAAGTTGGAGTGCAATGGCGTGATCTCAGCTTACTGCAACCTCTGCCTCCTGGGTGCAGTGAGCCAGGCAACCTCTGCCTCAGTCCCCAAGTGGCGGGGATTACAGGCTTGTGTCACCATACCTGGCTAATTTTTTGTATTTTTAGTAGAAACGGGGTTTCATTAACCAGGCTGGTCTTAAACGCCTGACCTCAGGTGATCTGCCTATTTCGGCCTCTCAAAGTGCTGGGATTACAGGCATGAGCCACTGCGCCCAGCCTAGCTACCAATGATTTCTGGAGTTTAAATATTAAAATTCAAACTAGCAATTTGTACTTTTTCCTTTAAGAGACAAATGAACAAAGACCAACATCAAATTCACTCTGTGATTTAAACAGTTATCTTCTCAAAAGCATAACATTAGCAAAAGTAAAAATTAACCCCAACACCACTTAATTGTGTTCCTTATTCCTAGTTTCCCGAGTTCCTCATCTTGTTTTCTGATGCTGTCCTTATCAGATTCTGAATATTTTTTCAAATATTTTTCTCAATTAAAACCCTCTATAAATACCGTCTAGCAAAGCATTTCAGTGGCTGTACATGAGACATGTTCAATGGCTAATTCCTGTGCTTGCTGCCAAGGTCACAGTCATACCCAGAGGACCTGAAGCATTTGCAAATATTAAACTTACTTTAGACATTAGAACAGTGCCAAATTATTCTGCCTAGAGACCTGAAAAATTCATTTATAAATGTAAAGTAATATATTATTTCTAATTTTTAATGTTTAATTTATAAGCTTAAATATAGATTACCTTAGCTATATTACCAGTATATCCTGGAACCAAAGTAAGATGGTTTTCCTGTTCCCATAATCCACTTAATTGTTGTTTTAAAATCT